GTGTGTGTGTGTGTGTGTGCGTGCGTGCGTGCATGCGTGCGTGCGTGCGTGTGTGTGCGTGTGTGTGTGTGTGTGTATGTGTGTGTGTACGTTCATGTGCTCGTTCCAGCTCCCCGCCTTCTTTCCTTGGCCGGCCTTCCCTCTCTCTGTCTGTCTCGATCGAGTCCTGGCCCTGCATCGAGCCGAGCGGCTGCCACTTCAGCTTCGGTCTCAGCATGCTCGCTTGCCAGACTCTCCGCCGCAACGCCGCGCGCGCAGCCACTGATCCAAAAGTGTGTGTGTGTGCGTGAGAGAGAGAGTGTGTTGTTTGTTTGTGTGTGTGTGGGAGGTGTGGCCTTGCATGCGTTCCGCTGAATCGTTCGCGACGGTGCCACCACTTCGCCAAATGAGGAACAAGAGTGTGTGTGAGAGAGAGTGTGTGTGTGTGAAAGTTTGTGCGTGTGTGTCTGTCTCTGTGTGTGCGTGCGTGCGTGCGTGCGTGCGTGCGTGCGTGCGTGCGTGCGTGCGTGCGTGCGTGCGTGCGTGCGTGCGCGCGCGCGCGCGCGCGTGTGTGTGTGTGTGTGTGTGTGTGTGTGTGTGTGTGGTAGGGTCGACTGTGCTCAGAGTGCGGACGCGACGGGGGGGGCAGCCCTCCAGAAGGGCACTGGGCTGGACACCCAAGCTTTTCATCACAAGCGGTTGTGTTGACGGTGCCAGGTCCCAGCCAGGGCTCCCTGGAGGCTGGCAGTCGCCGAAGACCGTCCGTCGTGATTTTTGTTCGCAGCGCGCTGCGCGAGCAGGTCCGAGCTCTGCAGGATAATGCCTTCCTGGCAGCCTCTGCCCCTCAGATCTGGACGACGCCACGAGATAGCGGAGGTGTGTTGCCTTCCCTCTTCTACATTTTCACATCATCTCTGGCATCTGGAGGCCACCTCCCAGCCCCAGGGTCGTTGAGTTAAAGACCCGGGATGAGAAGCCTGCCCCGTGGGAGTGGCCAGGATTTCCCACGAGGGAAGCCTCTGGGAGGGGGCCTCTGCCCCGTGAGGAGGCCGCGCCCAGCGCCACGCCGTCCGTTTCGCTGCGGGCCGCCAAGGGCAGGCAGGGTCCACCGAGCGACAGGAGAATTCGGGGTGGACTGCGCCGACACTCGCGCGTGAGCCTCTCGCGCAGGTTGGCGCGTGCGCACCCTCTTCTTCACGCGGTGTGCAACGCTGGCGGCCCGCGCATGCCATCTCGCGTGAGGCCCTTTTCTTCCAGTTGCTCAATTCGCCAAGGGGGGGGGGGGGGCAACACTCACCCCTGATCGCCCATTCATCGCTGATCTGAGGCCTGGGGGCCCCAGCCTGCTCAGGAACGTGTGGCTTCGCTTTCCCGCCTGGGGCCTACTAGCCGGTCTGTGTCGACGGTGTACATGCTGCCAATTCCAGGACGACCAGCCCTCCCCGCAGACGCGGCAGCATCCCCCTCCTCGTCCCAGAGCCTCCACCGCCCTCCGCAGAGATGCTGGCTCAAGCCGCGTATAACGTTCTATAGACTCGGCCGAAGCAGCCCCGGCCTTGGCTTCCGGACTGTCGTGTCCGTGACATGAAACACACACCACCTTACCTCTCCATGTGTTGCTTGCCCCTCCTGCTCGCCTCCGCTGGCGGGCTGGTGGTCCTGCCGGGCGGGCTGGCCGTGGCGCCCTCCAGCGCCGCGCCGGCGCCCTCGAGCCAGGGCGCCCTCGGCGGAGCAGGGCGCGAGCTGGCCCCGGACGGCGGCCCTGGCGCGCGCCGCGCCGGGCGCAGGACACTGGGGCAGTGGCGGTGGCTGGTCGGCGCGACGTCGGTGGTGCTCGCCCTCGCCCTGGCGGTGGTGCTCAGGGGAGGAGAAGTTAATTACCCATACCTCCACCCCTCCGCCCGCTTCCCCGTTGCTCGGCCTCCTGCAGGACGCCCTCGTCGCCACCGCTGGATTCGTCTCGCAATCCTGGTCAGAAAGCACCCCGGGAGAGGTCCGGGGAGTAGCGGTATTGGTATCTTGAGTTTTTTTTTTCAGATTGCGCTACCGAGGAACCCCACATACTTATATTATGGCTGGAGTGATGATAGCTGAAAAGAAGCATGTGAGAATGATGTTGGTGGCCGTTCCCTGCGCGCCTGCTGCGCCGTGCGAGCCTGCAACGGATAGAGACCGCACCCCACGCGCACCCCCCTCTGTTATCGAGACTTTGCCATGCCTGCCGCGCCCTGCACGCCTGAAACGCATAGAGACCGCACCCCCTGTGCACCCCCTCTGGTGTCGAGAATTCCCACGCCTGCCATGCCCTGCGCACCTGCAACGCATAGAGACCGCACCCCCTGCGCACCCTCCTGGTGTCGAGAAAATGCCGCGCCTGCCGTGCCCTGCGCGCCTGCAACGCATAGAGACCGCACCCCCTGTGCACCCCCTCTGGTGTCGAGAATTCCACGCCTGCCGCGCCCTGCGCGCCTGCAACGCATAGAGACCGCACCCCCTGCGCACCCTCCTGGTGTCGAGAAAATGCCGCGCCTGCCGTGCCCTGCGCGCCTGCAACGCATAGAGACCGCACCCCCTGTGCACCCCCTCTGGTGTCGAGAATTCCCACGCCTGCCGCGCCCTGCGCGCCTGCAACGCATAGAGACCGCACCCCCTGCGCACCCTCCTGGTGTCGAGAAAATGCCGCGCCTGCCGTGCCCTGCGCGCCTGCAACGCATAGAGACCGCACCCGATGTGCACCCCCTCTGGTGTCGAGAAAGTGCCACGCCTGCCGCGCCCTGCGCGCCTGCAACGCATAGAGGCCGCACCCCCTGCGCACCCTCCTGGTGTCGAGAAAATGCCGCGCCTGCCGTGCCCTGCGCGCCTGCAACGCATAGAGACCGCACCCCCTGTGCACCCCCTCTGGTGTCGAGAATCCACGCCTGCCGCGCCCTGCGCGCCTGCAACGCATAGAGACTGTGCACCCCCTCTGGTGTCGAGACCGCGCGCGCCTGCAACGCATAGAGACCGCACCCCCTGCGCACCCTCCTGGTGTCGAGAAAATGCCGCGCCTGCCGTGCCCTGCGCGCCTGCAGCGCATAGAGACCGCACCCCCTGTGCACCCCCTCTGGTGTCGAGAATTCCCACGCCTGCCGCGCCCTGCGCGCCTGCAGCGCATAGAGACCGCACCCCCTGCGCACCCTCTTGGTGTCGAGAAAATGCCGCGCCTGCCGTGCCCTGCGCGCCTTCAGCGCATAGAACCCCACGAAGCATGTGGGGAATAAAAAACCAAAATTCTGGCAAGTTCACTTGCATGGACAGGGAGGGGGCTGAACCTGAAGCAGGCCGCAAACGACTCGACGTGCGGACATCAGGCAAGTCGACAGGCCTTTGCACGCTCGTGTTCAACTGAAGAGGGGCGAGGGGGGGTGAGGTGGGGGGGCGAACGGCATGCAAGTAAGTATGACTGAATCTAAAAGAAAAGTATCGGGCGACAAAATCTATACAGATCCACTGCCCCCTGGCTGGGCCCTTCCTGGGCCCAGTCGCTGTGTATACAGTCTCCTGGCCAACCCAGGAGGGCGTGGCGTACACACTGCTGCTGGGTGCAGGGTGGCCCTGGCCAGTGAGCAGTGGATATGTAGCTGCCGTTGCCCTGACGCAGGCTCCCCTCCTGGCCCCCCCCCGAGGTGCAGGCTGCGCTCTTCTGCGCCCCGGCCTGGCCCTCCGAGCCGGGCCCGAGCGAGCAGGCCCGGGGCAGGAGGTTGCCGTGCTGCGGCCGCCGGCCACAGGGGAACGAAGAATGACACACAGTGGGGGCCCATGCCAAGAAACACCCTGCTCGCCTCCAGGGTGCCCTGGGTTTCTTGGGTTTCGATGGCTTTGCTATGGGCAGCGTGGCGTTCCCACGCCGAAAAAACAAAGGGGCGTCCGAGGGTCTCAGGGTTGGGTTTCTTGTGGAGGGTCTCTTGTGGACGGGCCCCAACTGTAAACATAAAGACTTGGAGTTCCGCGCGGATTTCTCGGATCGGTGCTGGACTCCCCCTCCCTGGCGCGCGGAGCGCGCCATGGGCGGCGACTGGAGGCGCCGCCAGGGGGTCCAGCGCGCATCCGAGAAATCCGCGCGGACATCGGAGTTTTTATGTTTACTCGTTCTCTTAGGCCAGGCTCCCGCTCCGCAGCGGCCGCGGCGGCCTCGTCCGGGAGCCTCGCCAGCGCCTCGGAGGCGCTCTCCAACAGCCTCGCCGCCGCCTCGGAGGGGTCGCTGATGCGGGGCGACCGGGCGGCTGCCGCGCTCTGCGCGGAGCTGGTGGTGCCCGACGGATGCACGCTCCACTGCGGAGTCCCAGAGGCTTCGCTTCACTGCACATACGACCCAGACCCCCTCGAGTCATGAACAATCACGACGGGCGGTTTTTCACCTATTCGGCCTCTGCGGGCCTTTGCCGGGCCTCGGAAACGATTCAGGATGGAAAGCCGGTCCTGGGGAACAGGTCGAGACCTCGGGGGGTCGACGTCATGACAAAATCATGACGTCGGGGGTCTGGGACGAGTGTCACTCCGCTGACGTGACCTTTGGTGCGCGGCTTTCGGGGCTGGCGCCTGCGGGGGGGCCTTGAGCCCAAGCGCGCATGCCACTGCTGTGCATCGCACGCAGCGGGCGTCAAGCCGCGCACCAAAGGTCCCTCTTTCCCGGGGCCACGCGCGCGTGTGGCCGAAGGCTGTGTGCCACAAGCGGCAGAACACGGTTGTGAGCGTGCACAGTCTAACGGTGCCCGGCGGGACGTCGCTATTCCAGGCCCGCTTGGCAGAGTGCGACCTGGCGGACGTCTCGGGGGTGGGCATCCACCTGGAAACCCTGGGCGGCGGTAAGAAGTTTGCTTTCCTGTCTACGCAGGCGATCTGGGCCGCTCCGCGGGACCGCCATTGTGAGATGGAAATCGTGAAGGCCTCTGGGGCGAAGTTCGCGACGATCATGAAGACCAAATCTGGGGTTTACACCATCGCGCGCGGAGCGGATACGCTGATAGTCTTCAGGGGCAATTTCGCCAAGCACGATGTGCAGGTGTACAGCTCCCTGGGCCAAAGAGTCGCCAAGGTGGGTCCCGGCGATGGCATGTACGAAGTGGTGGTCTACACGAGCGTAGACGCTGGGTTGGTCATTCTTGGCTTGCTCGCGATCGACAAGATGGAGATTATGCCGACCTAGGCAACACCTTGTAAGGGACGACCTGAGGCGAGGAGGAGGAGGAGGAGGAGGAGGTGGAGGAGGACGAGCAGCAGGAGGAGCAGTGGTCTGCTGATATGTTCAATTACGCATCATGGCAGTGATTCCCGCAGTGGGGTGGAGAATACAGTGTTAATCGCTGCAGATCCAAGTCCGGTTGTTGGTGGAGTTGCTTGGCGTGGCCCCACAAGCCTTGCACGCTGTTTTTTTTATCATATGTATGGCTTCTTTTTGCTCGGTCTTGAGCAATACGTGTACTAGGGCTGTCTGAGTCAGGAAGGTGAACAGGGGTTGCCAGCAAGCATTGTTTATCAAGTAACCCTGAAGACTCGCGTGACAACCACGTCTTCTGGACCTTTGAATACCAAGTCCTCGAATTGTGAGCTGAGCTATGATGTCTCTATTGTGCGTCATGTCCTGAACGGGACTGGGTAACGCCTCATGATCAGAAGCATCATTGTTGTCTCTCTCTCTCTCTCGTTCTGTCTCTCTCTCTCTCTATCTCGCGCTCTTTCTTTCTCTCCATCTCTCCCTATCGCTCTCTCTCTCTCTCTCTCCTTCTGTTCCCATTTCACGGTGCGCAGACTAGAGGCCGACCTCGTCATCTAGGTGTGTGTCTGTGTGTGTGTCTCTGGGTCTCTCTCGATCTCCCGCTCTCTCTCACTCTCTCTGTATCTATTTCTCTCCACCTCCCTGCCTCCACGCACGCACGCATTTGCGCAACCGTACGGCTCTCTCTCTCTCTCTCTCTCTCTCTGCCCCCCCCGCTATCGACCACATGCTGCGCCCACATGCATGAGCAATGGAGTGCCATGGCATTCTGGCCCGGGACCGCCCCCGGGACTCCCCCCCCTCAGGACCCCCACCGGGACCCCCCCCTTCCCACCCCGGGGACACCTCCTCGGGACCACCCCCCTGGGACGCCGCCCGCCCCCCCCCCCTGGCGGGGAAGGGATCCAAGGGAAGGGGCTTCCCTTCGGCTCGATTGCGACGTTGCTCGATTTCGTTTTGGCTGGCGCGCATGAGGAGGAGGGCCCAGGGAAAGGGGAGAGCGGCGACGGCCCAGGGAAAGAGAGGGAGCGGCGACGACGACGACGACGTCGACGAAGGCGAGTCAAACGGAACAGCCTCTTCAACATGCCGACAGGGTCGGCGGATTCTGTCTCGAATGTACTAATATGTCATATTATAGCATGCTGCGTTTTGCTCTGCTTAGATATCGTTCATACTGGTCTGGTATGCAGAATGCCAACTCATTGCGGTTTTGTTCTGCTCTCGTTGTAATGAGTGGTAGTGGTATTCGTAGTAGCACGGATCTTGTGAGTAGTAATAACAGTTGGTGGTGCCAATGGCAGTATATGTAGTAATCGTCGTAGTGGAAGTAGTAGTAGTAGTGGTGGTAGTCAAAATAATCGAAGTAGTCGCAGCCGTAGTCGAGGCAGCCTGGGCCTGAATCCCAGCCAACACGCCCGGCGTGAGATAATTGCGACGCCAGGGCTCCCATGGTGGGTCCTCTCGAGACTCCAGACATCCGGCGTCTCGGGCCCCCGACCTCGCGACCATTTCCCCCGGGCCATTTTCTCATCCCGATTCGTGTCCTGGCGGTCCCAGGGCCCGGCAAGGGCCCCGAGAGGCCGAAACCGAGGAGCAACATCCGCCTCGACGCTTGCGAGGCGCCGGGCGTTTGCTGAGGAGGGGGCCCCCTCGAGCCTGCGGCCCCGCAGGCCGGGAAGTTCACCCACACCCTCGCCGGGGTGCACCGGCCGGGCAGCTGGGAGCGCCTGCGGCTGCGGGGGCGGACGCTGGAGCTGGAGCACTGGCAGGGCACCGACATGGCGCGCGCCCTCGCCGCCCGCTGGGGGGGGTGGCCAGGGGTCTCCGGCAGAGCCACAAGTCGGAAGCTGGGCGAGGGCTGCTAAAGCCGTGGCTGCTCAAGCGGCCCTCCTGGAGAAGAAGAAAAACAACAACTTCCCGGAAGGAGGCGCGGCACGCGACACAGTCAACGGGCTTCTTTCCAGGAAGGACGACGAAGACAGCTTCCCGGAGGTCGACTTTAGCAGCCACGGATTTCGCAGCCCTTGCCCGGCTTCCGAACAAGCTTACGTAGCGTTTGTCCTACGATCGGGGGGTTGCTAAAGGTGCCCCGGGCCCCCAGGTGCCCCCAGCTGTTCGCTCGATTCTTGAGGCCCCTCGTGGGGTCCTCTGGGCCTCGTGAGGGGTGCTGTGGAGCCCGTGGGGGGGGCTCCTGGGAAATCCTGGGGGGCACCTTGGGTCGAGGCACTTCTAGCAACACCCGATGCGAATTGTGTGTTTGTCTTGTACCCGACGCGGGTCCGACGACGTGGACTCGGCATCGATTCGGCGCTGATTCGACTTGCTCGACATGGGTTCGACACAGACGGCTGGCGCGATGGGACAGAGAAGGCCCCCCCAATACATCCACAGGCCGAAAGTTTTTTCCTCTTGCATGGGAACGCATGGATCCATTTGGATCCAATTACGTGTGTGCGAGAGTCACGTGGATCCAATTTCCGTGTCTTCTGGATCCAAATTTTTGGCATGGAAGTTTCGTGGATCCAATTCTTTTGCTGAAGTAGATTTATAATGATATGTAATACAGGGGGCCTAAGGGGAAATGGATCCACGGAGCCTTGGACCTGCAGCCCAAGCTATGATTCTACGGGGGAGGGGTTTCCCTACCGAGGAGGGAGGTGGACGACGAGGGAGGACGGAAGAGGCGGATCAGGGAGGATGGAGGAGGAGGGAAAACGACCGCGGTGCCCAAGTCGGGAGCTCGAGCGCCACAGCCGGCCTGGCCACCTCTCCGAACCCCTCTCATAACATGTCGTTGCTCGAGCGCCACAGCTGCCTCGGCCAACTCCCGCAGCCTCCATAATGTGCGGGTGCTTGAGTGCCACGGCGGGCATGGCCAACTCCGGCAGCCTCCCACAACATATGCCGCACCCCACCTCGACGCGAGCGCGATATGATCGCTGCGTCCGCATCCGCTAAAGCCAACGACACTTCGCATGTGTCATGTGGGCCTCAAGAAGAAAATCGTTCGGCCTGCTCAAGTGGGGTTTTGACCCCCGTCTCCCCCGCAAACACGCGCAGCGTGTTGACGGGCAGAAACGGGCCCAAAACTCTTCAGTGGGGTTTTGACCCCCGTCTCCCCCGCCAACACGTGCAGCGTGCTGAAGGGCATAAAAGGTGTGCACCATTTTTCAGTGCCAAAAGTGTTTTCCTCTTGCATGGGAACGCACGGGTCCATTTGGATCCAATTACGTGTGTGCGAGAGTCGCGTGGATCCAATTTCCGTGTTTTCTGGATCCAATTTTTGTTGGCATGGAAGCTTCGTGGATCCAATTGTTTTGCTGGAATAAAGTTACAATGATATGTAACACAAGGGACCCAAAGGGGAATGGATCCACGAAGCCTTGGACCTGTATCCAAAGCTATGATTATGAGGGGGAGGGGCTTCCCTACCGAGGAGGGAAGCGGACGAGGAGGGAGGACGGAAGAGGCGGATCAGGGAGGAGGGAGGAGGAGGGAAAACGACCGCGGTGCCCAACTCGGGAGCTCGAGCGCCACAGCGGGGTTGGCCAATTGTCCGAACCCATCCCATAACATGTCGTTGTTCGAGCGCCACAGCTGACCCGGCGAACTCCCGCAGCCTCCATAACGTGCGGGTGCTTGAGCGCCGCAGCTGGCACGGCCAATTCCGGCAGCCTCCCACAACATATGCCGCACCCCACCTCGACGCGAGCGCGATATGATCGCTGCGTCCGCATCCGCTAAATTCAACGACACTTCGCATGTGTCGTGTGGGCCTCAAGAGGAAAATCTTTCAGCCTGTTCAAGTATGCGGCGTAACCAAGCGGCCCCAGACGCGCACCGGACGCACGCGGACGGCCACAGATCATGTCAGAGCCCCGAATCATCAGGGGTAGCTCGGGTCAGGGATAACTCGGGTTCGTTTTTCGGGATTCCGAACCCGAGTTATCCCGGACCCGAGTTACCCCGGATAAATCGGGCGTCCAAGAGCCCCGAATCATCAGGGGTAACTCGGGTCAGGGATAACTCGGGTTCGTTTTTTCGGGAACCCAAGCCCGAGTTACCCCGGACCCGAGTTACCCCGGATAACTCGGGCGCCCAATCATGCCCACGGGCCCTCCAAGCGCAGAAAAAGTTGTTGTTTCGGAGGTGTTTTTCCGTTTTTGGGCGGTATTCGGTCCTTGGGTCTTCCGGGCGTCCGAGGCTGAGACCGCCCAAGAGCCCCTGGAAACCGCCCAAAAACGACCCAACGGGGCTTGCAGAGTCCAAGAGCGGCCCAGGACCCTCACAAGAAGCTTCTAAATTTGGGTCGTGAGACCCCACGAGCCATGGAGGAGCCCACGCAACAAACAGCTGAGGAGGGCAGGGAAGGGCTCACAGGGTGTGGCGAGAACGCACGAGGAGTTTTTGCCGTTTCGCCTGAGACACTTCTCTCTCGTCCCGCCCGCATGCTGACCTCGAGGGACCAAGACAAGGTGATTGGCGCAAAGCGCCAATTACACATGCCGATATAGTTCTACATCCTGCATGGACGCAAACTCGGATGTCCCCCCCCCGCACCCCGAAAATCCCAATGGCCTCTCGGACGGTCTCCCCCCACCCTGGGGTCACCTTTCTGACGGCTCCCCCGGCCTCCCCGGCCAGCCGTCCGCAATCTTCTGAACGCCGCGGAGGCCCCAGAGGCCTCGCCGCGACACCGAAGATGGACAAGAGAGCTCCGGGACTGCGCCCAAGTGGCCCCAAGATGGCTACATCATGGTCCAACAGGCCCCCAAGAAGGCCCGATGAGAGCCCCACGAGGGGCCCCAGAGGCAAAAACCGCTGATATCCCAAAAGTTTTGCAAGGATTTTAGGGTTTTCCCCATGTCGAGCTTCCGACGGCATGCGACGAACCCAGGGGCTTCACAGATCGCCCCCGGAAGGCTGCA